AAACACACACACACACACACACACATATATATATATATATATATATATATATATATATATATATATATATATATATATTGCCTTGCATTTTACTCGTGTTTCGTAGATTTCAGATGTGAAATATAATGATTTGTGCTAATTCGTGGTGTTTTTTATATGTAGGAATCATCCGGAGGCAATATGGGGCGAAAAGTGCGAGATTGGAGCCAAAAATGAGCAAAATTAGAAAATGGCCATTTGTAGCGCCACAGGTAGCGTGCCTAGTTTCCCAGACCTTAAAAATTCCAGCGCTACCCTGGGTGTTGGTGACGGAAAATCTCTCCTACTTTGCCCGGGACAAGGTTATTTCGGCCCAAGACCTATCAAACGCATATAAAAGCAAGACTAAGCCTATTTTGAGGGGGGGAGATGCCACTTTGGAGCAAAAATACACACAAGAAATATCCGGGAGCGAGGATATCTTAGTTTTCTTTATCTTTTCTTAGTATTCTTAATTATTCAACACTTGTGAATTTGTTTTGATATTATCATGAGTGGCTAAAACCCATAGTTCCGGGGTTATGATTTAGCCATAATATTATTGCTTAAAGTTGACTTAATCTTGATTATAATTTACTAATATATGATTGTTTCTTCAATTCTGTGATTAATTGCTTAATTTTTTGGCCAATAGTTAGGTTCTATTTACTATCTATGCTATGCTTGGGAAAGCTACGTCTAGATTAGAGAAGAATTGAAGAGAGCATGATCTTAACTCTGAGTGGGGGGCAAATTTGTGGTTAGGATAAGAATATACCTAGTCACCGTGCTTAATTAAATATCGCAATCTTAACGCGTTCGTAATAGATTGATTCCATATGAATATAGGCATTAATCTATTTTGAATAGGCGAGTAGAAATTCGGGAGAATACTACGAGAGCAATTGTTCGATTAATTAGCAACCATGAGTGAATTGTATGAAAGTGAGAGTTAATTAGAACACAATAGGATTGGTGAATCGATCACAATTCTGGAATATTCGTCTCTACTGAATACATAACAACTATTTTGCTGCTTGATAAATTAGTTACTTGTTAGAATTATTACTTAGTATAAATACACTTTTGAACTCTGATTGACTTGACTGAATAATAATTTTGGTGAAACTAGTGGGTAGTTAACACAAGTCTCTGTAGGTTCGACACTCGACTTATCATTTTATTACTTATACGACCGCGTATACTTGCGTGTGCGTTTGGGAGCAATAAATTTTTGGCGCCGTTGCCGGGGACTTGAATATTGACTACTTTCTAGTTTTTACTTTAGTTGCTTATTTCGTCAAGTCTAACGTTTCTTATTGGTTTCTCTGCTCTCAGGAATTTTGATTTAATGCGAAGGATCAGAAGCCAGGATAGACTTCAAGGCTTTGACCCCGAACCTGAGAGAACATTTCACAGGAGGTTGAGGGAAGCAAGGGACACAAATAATCTTTAGGCACTTGTTTAATTTCCTGTGGACATGGCAGAGGAACAACATATGGCTGTTCAGGAGGTGGCGATGCCCAGCATTGCTAATGTCACCTCCAACATCGTGAAGCCCAGAATCACTGGGCACTTTGAGTTAAAACAGAGCATGATCCAGCTATTACATGCGAATGGGCAATTTATGGGTCTTCCACACGAGGATCCACAACAGCACATCCTGAACTTCCTGGAGATTAGTGATACTTATATCACTAACGGAGTCACTCCAGATTATGTGAGGCTCACATTATTCCCGTTTTCTCTATTGGGCGAAGCAAAGCGGTGGTCGAAGATGAAACCAACTAATTCTATAACATCATGGAATGATCTGGCGAGGAAATTTTTGGCAAGGTTCTTGCCTTCAGGCAAACTGCAAAGATTAGAAGTGAGATAGTCGCCTTCAAACAGAAATTGGGGGAGTCTTTATACTCAGCTTGGGAAAGGTTCAAGGGGTTGCTCAGAGTCTGTCCTCATCACAATCAGACAAATGAAGTGTTAGCTTACATTTTCATAGAAGGGCTACATCCTGAGACAAAGATTGTGGTGGATGCTGCAGCGGGAGGTCGAGTGTTGGAGAAAAACTTCGATGAGATATATGCATTATTGAACAAATTCTCCAAAAGCAATCCTGATTGGCAAGGAGAGATGGTCAGACACACCGTTCAAAAATCTGCAGGGGATCTCAAGTTAGATGTCGTCTCTGCATTATCAGCACAGGTTGCCACATTGGCCAACCAAGTCAATAAGATGACCTTGGTTATTAATAAGCAACAAGCTCAGCCAGTGCAACAAGTTCAAATATTTTGTGAAGTATGTGGAGAGGGTCACACGAGCGACTTATGCCCAGTTAATTCAGAGTATGTGTATTTGTGGGTAATGCAAATCGAGGCCAGGCAAATCAGTATGGGGATACTTATAATCCTAACTAGAGGAACCACCCAAATTTTTCTTGGGGTGAAAATCAAGGTGCTCAAAATAAGTACAAGCCACAAACTACTCAATAATAATATAGATCACCACAGGCTGAACAACCCACGAACTCAATGAGTCACATTGAGGAGATGCTAAAGAAATTGATGGCTGATCAACAGGCTCAAGCAGCAGCCCATGCTGCAGCGATTCAAAATTTGGAGAGACAAGTGGGGCAACTTGCCAGTGCTCAAAATACTCGACCAGTTGGGGCTCTTCCTAGTGATACTGAGCCTAATCCTAAAGCTCAAGTCAATGCGGTTACCTTGAGAAATAGAAGAGTATTAGAAGAAGTTCCAAAGAAAAAGAAGTATACGGCTAGTCTTGAAGGAGAATTAGTTCCCAAGCCAATTGAGGAGAATGAGAAAGAGAGCGAAGGATTAGAGCTAGTAATTGTGACAAGGCCACCACCTTCGTTTCCACAAAGACTGCAGAAGAAAAAAAGATGATGCTAAGTACAAGAAATTCTTAGATGTTTTGTGCCAAGTGCGTGTGAATTTGCCTTTGGTGGAAGGATCCTGGGAGTTTCACGATTCCTCTGTCTCTTAGAAAACAAGTTGGTAGAGCCCTATGTGATTTAGGGGCTAGTATAAATTTGATGCCATCATCTTTATTCAAGAAACTAGGCTTGGGGATGCTTAGACCTACTACAATCACTTTATAGTTGGCAGACATGTCACTAGTTATGCCAGAAGGAATTATTGAGGATGTGTTAGTTCGAGTGGGAAAATTTATACTTCCTGCTAATTTTATTGTTCTTGATTACGAGGCAGATGAGGAAGTGCCCATTATTTTGGGGCAACCATTCTTAGCTATTGGTGGAGCGATTATTGATGTGAGGGAAGGGAAGTTGAAGATGAGAGTTGACGATGAGGAAATCACTTTTAATGTGTACAAGGCACTTAAGCTTCCTAAGCATTATGAGGACTTGTGCATGATTACTGTGGTAGAATTGAAGGGGATAGAGCAGAGTCCCTATCTGAATTGTAGTGATCCAGATGGGACAACTGAGTTAGAGGAGGTGGTATTTCAAGCTGAGTGTGTAAAGATAATTGAGAAAAGAGCCAGAGATGAAAGAGGAGACCTTCTGAGAGCGTGCAAAAAGGATAGACTACATGGGAGAAAGAAGAAGAGAAAGCTCCCCGCCTAAGTAGAGTAGCAGAGTCGTGCCACGACTATAAATAAGGCGCTTGCTGGGAGGCAACCCAACCTGTATTTTATTTTTTTCTATTTTTTTTATATAGTGTCAAGTTTTGTATTGTTTTTGTTTTGCAGAGTAGGAAAAGTCTGAGTACCGAAGTTGAAGTTGAGGAGCATGTGTGAGCTTAAGTGCGGGGTCGTCCCGACCCTTAGTATTGAGGATCATGTGCGAGCTAGGCCCGAGAGGGTCTCAGGGTGTATTTCTCACCCTTGTTTAATATTTTCCTCTATGATCATGCATCGAGGACTATGCATAATATAAGTGTGGGGTGTGGAAAATACTTTCTGAAGTGTAATTGTATAAAACTGTTTTTATTAGTTTTTCTTTTAGAACTATTTTTTTTAGTTTTTCTTTTAGAACTCATAGTAGACATAGTCTAGGTTCTAAAAACACGAAAATTGAAAAAGAAAAAAAATCAGAAAAAGCTTGGACTTTTCCCGATGATGGATCTTTTGGACAATTTATTTTTTTGAGGGATTAAAGTCCGATTAAAAATACCAAAACGATTTTTCTTAGGATAGTTTGGTAGGATCCCTTAGTTTTTCTTTGGGCACCGATTCTTTTCCAAGGGTGTAGCTCGAACCGGGTACTTTAGTTTTCTTTTAGGAGTAGGTTAGGAAGAAACTGAGTTGCTTTGAGGTACCTATTGACGTGTTTGGTGCTGGCACATTAGGTTATGACATGCGCTCTATCTTCTCGTACATTTGATTTGAATTGTGATGCATGAGTAAAATAAATAGCCTACTCTGTGACGCCTTTTCTCAGTTATTTGACTTGTATGCCACATAGTGTAATATTGCTTAAAATTTCTCAATTGTATGTGCTTGCTTGACTTGAGAGTTGAACAGAACCGTCTCGATTGATGTCACGACCCAAACTAACCCTCCGTAAGTTGTCGTGATGGCACCTAGTCTTTACGATTAGGTAAGCCTAATATTACAAAAATAAAATATAAAGAAAACACAATATTTTAAAGATAAACAATATATTGTGAATAGCCAAAAGTAGTACCCCTCGACATATACAAAATAATTTCCCAAGACCCGGAATATCACTAAGTCACAAGTTGCTATAATCTATGGAGCTCTATACAAAAGTCTGAAGATAATAAAGAAAGTCTCTAGACGAGGGAGTAGAAGGAAACTCCGAGGATCTGCGGACGCAAGCAAAAGTACCTTGAAGTCTCCTAGAATCAGCAGCACGTACTAACCCTGAGGCTGATAGCTCGCACCTGGATCTACACACGAAAACATGTGCAGGAAAGGGCATGCGTACACCACAATGGTACCCAGTAAGTGCCAAGCCTAACATCGGTCGAGTAGTGACGAGGTCAGGTCAAGGCCCTACCGGAGTAAATATAATAAATTAAACAGTAAAAGATATAAGTAAAATTTACGGTAACACAATTAAAGAAATTCTCAGAAATTTAACAGTTAAGGGAGCCCTCGGCTTAGAACAAGGTAAACACAGTGGAGAATCTCTCGGGATACCGTCCCGTAGTTCCAAATGGATATGCAGTATAGGAGAATCTTCCGGAATACGTCCGTAGTCCCAAAGTAAATATGCAGTGCTGGGGGATCTCCCGGAATACGTCCGTAGTCCCAAAATAAATATGCAGTGCTGGGGGATCTCCCGGAATACATCCGTTGTCCCAATTTAAATATGCAACGCAAGATGAAATGGCAGGTATGGCATCGAGTTATACAGTTTATACTGAACACAGATAAGGAAAGTAGGGACTTAACTAAGCATGTCGCACAGATCCATATACCATGCAGAGGCAATTCCTACAATGCACTCTCCAAAGTATGCTATTAAAATCTCCTTTGTTCCACCGGTGGCCCTTAGCTGGTTGCAATATCTTTACAAATGAGCGATCGGGTCTCCATGCCCGTCGTACTTTTCAAATTTTGCCGTCTTAAAGCTAGCTAGTAACTGGACATGGGGAAACATGCACAAGTCAAAGTAAGAGACACTCTTTTGGCTGCTCAGGCCCTGCATATTCTTTAAACTCTGCTCCATGCTTTTATTTTTCGAGCCATTTCATCCCGCTCGGGATTTTTGACTATGCAGTTAAAACACGTAAACATGCTTCTCTTGTCTAAGTTTAACAATTAAACGTATTAGTACAATTTAATAAGGAAAAATAGTTTATGATTTAAAAAGGAAACAAACGGGGTTTTTGCAATAATAGCCCATGTACGTACTCATCACCTCACGTACACGGCGCCCACACATCAATTAATATCGAACATCTTAAGGGAAAAGTCCCTAACACAAGGTTAGGCAAGCCACTTACCTCGAACCGATTAAATCAACTCGATATCACGTTCTTGCCACGAGTATCCGACTCCAAATGGCCCGAATCTATTCAAATAAATTGTATAATGTAAATATAACTACAAGTAACTAATTTAACTAATTAATTCGAAGCTAAAGCGTGAAATTAGGAAAATTGCCCAAAAGGTCTCCCCAGGCCCACGTCTCGGAATCGGGTAAAAATTATAAATTTTGAACACCCATTCACTCACGAGTCTAACCATACCAAATTTACTAAAATCCGACACCAAATGGTCCTCCAAATCCACAAATCAAACTTCCAAATTCCTAGCCTCCAACTTCCAATTTTCACCTTAAATACACACTAACTAGGTGAGAAAATACATGGCAAGGCAAGATTATTGATAAAAAATAAGCACAAGGGACTTACCTCAAGAAATGCCTCGAAAATGCTCTCAAAATTGCCCTAAACCGAGTTTGCAAAGTCAAAAATGACAAAAATCGCGAAGCCCTTTGGTTTTAACCACTACCCAGGTATTTCCGCACCTGCGGAACCTGGGCTCGCACCTGCGGGTGGGCTTGTGCGAAAAACGTACGCATATGCGCAATTCACTTTCCCCCTCTGCCTTCGCACCTGCGACGAAAGGGCCGCACCTGCGGAAATCCCTTCCGCTTCTCCGTAACTTGCGCACTTGCGAACAGTCTTGCGCATTTGCGGGCATCACAGATGCGGCCTTTTCCCACGCACCTACGACCCCTGAACAATCTACCCAACTCTGCTTCTATGCCAATTTTCTTGCCCCTGCGGGCAGCCTTGCGCAGGTGCGATTACAGCAGAACCAGCAAAAGCACCAGATTTGTTCTTAGTCCAAATTTATTCCGTTAAGCATCCGATACACACCCGAGGCCCCTGGGACCTCGACCAAACATTCCAACCAATCCTAAAATATTATACAAACTTAGTTGATCCTTCAAACCACATCAAACAACACCAAAATCATGAATTAAGCATGGATTCAAACCTAAGAATTTAAAATTTTCCAAATTCTATAAACGATGCCGAACCACATCAAATCTAATCTGAATGACCTCAAATTTTACACACAGGTCACAAATGATATTACGAACCTACAACCACTTTCGGAATTCCATTCCGAGCTTGATATCAAAATTTTCACTATCGGCCGAAATCGCCGAAAAAACTAACTTTCTCCAATTCAAGCCTAAATCTACTACAGGCCTCCAAAACATATTCCGAACGCGCTCCTAACCCCAAAATCACTCAACGGAGTTAACGGAGTGACATAATTCTATTCTGGATCCGTCTTCTCACAGTTCCGACTACGGTCCAAATTCTAAGATTTAAACTCACAACTAGGGACTAAGTGTCCCAAAACACTCCGAAACTCAAACCCAATCATCCTGGCATGTCACAATAACAGAAATAGATATGGGGAAAGTAGTTAATAGGGGTTCGGGGCTCTAACTCTCAAAATGATCGGCCGGGTCATTACAATTGAGTCATGTGCAATGTGCTAGTCTAGGAGATGACGTAAGCGTTTCTTGCTTGATCATAGATGTGCTTGTCACTTAAAAATAAAATTTTTCGTTGCTAGCCCCTTTGATCCCATAGACCTTTCCTTTGGCATCCACATTACAAGTCGTATCCCTATTTTGTTCTTAATTTGAGATTGTTGAATCTTTATCTCCTAATGCACTTAGTCGCTAAAAAAAGTAAGGTAAAAGATTGGAGAGTAGCTTTAGAGTGGAACTATGAAAGGGCCCTTAAGGTGCACTAAAGTTATGAAAAAAAGGTCACTAGACGATGAACCTTAATGTATGGAGGGTGTGTAGAAAAAAAAAAAGAGAAAAAGAAGGAAAAAAAGTGCAAGAAGAAAAAAAGAATAATTCAAATAATGTAGAAAAACACACACCTCCTAATCTTGCTAATGCATGCTAGTGGGAATA